TCTTGGGGCGTCTTGGAGGCCTCTTGGGCTGTCTTGGGGGCCTTTTGGGCCGTCTTGGGGTCATCTTCGGCGTCTTCGAGCGCTCTTTGGGCGTCTCGGGGGCCTCTTGGGCAGTCTTGGGGGCCTCTTGGGGCACTCTGAGCGCGCTCTGGGGAGCCTGAGAGGCCGCACCCAGAAGGAAAACCATCTCTGAGTAGACTTGGTCGGGCGGCGGTCGGGCGGCGGTCGGGCGGCGACCGGGCGGCGACCGGGCGTTGGTCGGGGTACTTTTCGCCAGGGGACCCCCAGGGGCCGCCCCGCGCGCGCGAACTAGAAATACTGTTAATACTGTTAACCAGTTACCGGAGATCTTAGCACGCCCTGGCCCGTTGGGCCGGCGAATTTTCGTTCGCGCGATGGGCCGCTGGCCAGGCCGCAGTCAGCCTGGCCGCTCGCTCGTGGTGGGTGGAGGAGGAGGAGGAGGAGGAGCAAACCCAAAACGCATCAACGATGTTGCAACGAACCTTCCCTCCAGGCTCCCTGATCATGGGTCCCTGCAAGAATTTGGTTTCACTGGGGGCAGTGGCCCATCAGAAGACAACCGCCTGAGGATCCTCAACCGTTCCAAAGACCTTTCCTGGGACCTCAGCGCTACGGATCATCATGACTGTTGCGTCATGACCATCCCAAGTTCTGGGACATCAGAACTGATCCTCAACCGTTCCAAACACTGTTCCTGGGACCTCAACGCCGCGGATCATCGTGACTGTTGCGTCCTGACCATCACAAGTTCTGCCAGATCTCCGCTCTGGGACCTCAGAACAGCGACTCTACATGAATGTTGCGTCATGACAGCCCTTAATCGTGACAGCACACCATCCCTGGACGTCGATCGTACGAATCTTCGAAACGGTTGCAAACTGTTGAAAGGAATGTGCGCGGCGCTAAGGCGAGAGTCACATGTTGCAAAGCACGGGCCCTCCATCCGTGAAGCTGCTGCGAACTTTTAAGCCGAACGTGAGCGGCGCTACGGCGAGAGCCACAATTTGGAAACACTCCGCCGTGCGTCCGTGAAACTGTCGCGAACTTTGGAGACGACCGCGTGGCGAGCTTTGAAGCCGAATGTGCGCGGCCCTGCGGCGAGAGCCACATCTTGGAAGCTCTGCATCCATGAAGCTGTTGCAGTTTAAAACTTCATGATCATACGGTGGGGGCGTTCGTTAAGGAATGTGCAGAGGGGGCTTCAGACCCTGGAGGATTCCTTATCCCATGAGGGCGGCGGCGATATCCATGGCCGATCCACGATTGGAGTTCCACTGGCTTCGAGACTCTGGATTCCTAATCGAAGGGTTCCTTATCCAATGCCCCCACCGCAGCGAGGAAGTCTCAGGCGAAACGCCTGGCCCGCCCTGCCGACACATCTTGTGCGACAGGGAAGAGCTACTTATTTCTGCGGGCGGGCGGGCGGACAGACGCTCTCCCAGCGCGCCGGGGCGCAGTCCCACCTGGGAACGGAGCGGTGGCGCCGTGGCGCCGAGCATTCGGGGACTACGTGCAGGAGTTGGAGACGGCGGAGGAGGAGGAGGAGGTGGAGGAGGAGGAGGATCATAAGAGGAGGAGGACGAGGAGGAGGAGGAGGAGGAAGGAGGAGGAGGAGGAGGAGGAGGAGGAGTAGGAGGAGGAGGACGAGGGCAAGAAGGAGAAGGCGGCGAAAGGGGTGCGCGGGATAAAGAAGGGAAGGTCCTCGGAGTCCAGGGGCACATGTCCAAATGGGGAGGAGCGCGGAGGGAGCGCGTGCTCGCCTCCTGGCGGCCTCTGACCCCTGCCTGGCCTCTGCTCTCCCCTGCTCTCCCCTGTCTTTCTGCTGCTGCTCCTCCTCCTCCCTTCTTCCAGTCTTGACTGTGCTGCAGGTTCAGGGCCATCGCTGGGCGCGGTTGTGGCCGTCGCGTCCGCTGCTCTGGCCGCGCGATGGCTGCAGTGGCAGCTGCAGCGAGGGCGGGGGGTGGCTGAGCGCGTCCGTTGGGCCGGCCAGGCCAGCGCCCGCTTTTCCAGGACCTCCAGGCGCCGCTCCGCTCTCGACAGGCAGAGTCCACCCGCCCATGGCCTGCAGCAGGGCCTCCGTCGTGGTTGCGGCGCCCGGTATGCTTTCCTTCTCCTGCGTTGGCCAGCAACTGGTGGTGCCTCTCTTGCGACGGTGGCGCGCGAAAAAGGCAGATGACCTGCCCCCCATTGCCGCGCAGATTGTGCAGCGGTTTCCCATCAGGGTGATCTGTGCACAGTGACAGCACGTCGTGCCCCGACATGGCCCTGCCCCGAACACGCCCTTGTGTGCCAACACGAAGGTGTATCCTCTCACTCTGCCCGATGCCTGTGGCCATTTGGGCTGATGCGCTCGGCCGATTTTGAACAACGGTTTGGGCGCAGATGCTGGCCCTTGGGCCATGCGCCCTCGACGCCGCGCGGCGGCGGGCCAGCAAGGTCGTACGTGAGTACGATTTCCTCGGTCCGCGCCTCGCGCTGTAGGCGGAGGAGGACGTGTTCGACGAAAATTTCGTGCAGGGTACAGAGGCTGCGGCCCTCAGCGTTGAGGAGGCGCGGCGGCTGCTGAGGGAGTTCGTGGACCAGGCAGTGGCCGACGAGCCCGTGCAGAAGCGTTTGATGGCGTTGCATGGTTGCCCTGGGCGTGCCATGCTGGAGGACGCCGCTGCGTGCTTCAGGTCGACGGAGGGCCGCGACGCGTCCGAGGCCCCACCGCTGCTGGTGGCCCGTGCGATGGCAGGGATTCGTTTCGCTCGGAAGTACCGCGCGGCCGCCGAGGAGAGCTGTCGCGGACTGGAGGTGCAGGGGTGGGCTCTGTGGAGGCCCCGTTTGATTGCGCTGCTCGAGGAGTTGGAAGCGCCCTCCTTTTAAACGGCGCGATCCTGCGTGGACCCAGAACGGGCGAAGGATGGCATCAAGGACCGCGCGCGCATCAACGCGGTGAGGTCGTACGTGCGGACCGTGGAGACGATGCGCAGGTGGCCCTTGCGCGCGCGTGGGATCGCGGGGCCCACGACGATTGTGCCCTTCGCCGACTACGTGCATACAAGGGCGGCTGAGCCGTGTGGGCCGTCGGTACCAAGCAGATCTTGCGCGACATGGTGTGGGCCGAGCGTGTGGCAGGTGTCGATCCGAACGACAGACTCCATTCGACCAAAGGCTCAGCAGGTCTTCGCGAACGTGGAGATGTTCTCCGGCGCGGGCACGGTGCCGACGACGAGGGCGGCGCGATTTCTCAGTGTTCATCGGAGCCTTGGGGCGGCTGGTCATGTACGAGGATCTCGTGCCGTACTTACGCTGGGTAGCGTGGCCTCGCCTCGTCAAGGTGTGGGCTGTGCTGCGCTACAACGACCACAGCTGGCTCCCGCCGCCGCGCCTCGCCTTCGTTGACGGGGGGCTGCCGGCCACGCTGGGGCGAGCGAAGACAAGCGGAGCAGTGCACAAGATGCTGGAGCTGCTGCTTGTTGTATCCGGCGAGTGCTACATGTTGGGCCCAGCGTGGATTCAGGCGGGTTTCGATGTGTGGCAGGAGATCGCGGACTTCGAGAGGGACAACTTCCCGCCGCGACGTCGCGGGGCTGCTGGTGGTCCGCAGGCCCGCTGGGTACGCAGAGGCGGATGTGGTCCGCAAGTCCGCTGGGTGGTGGTCCGCAGGCCCGCTGGGTGGTGGTCCGCTGGGCCCGCGGCTCTGGGGCAGGAGGTGGTCCGGGGGATGCTGGCGCCAGCAGCGTGCGCCGGTGAGGATTTGGAGTTCCTCATCTCCGACGAGGTCGTGAGCTTGTCGACGGAGCGCTCGGAACGGGCGACGATCTCCTCAGCCATGGCGGCAATGGGGTCCCGAAGAGCGACCCTGGGCAGGTGGTCGCTAGAGGGGGCGGGCGCCTGCGCGAGGGCGCACCCCGCGGTCGTTTCCCAGCTCGAGCAGCAGTTCGCAGAGGTGTTTCGTTCTGGGGAGTCCTACTTGGCGCTGGGCGGGGAAGCGGCCATCCCGGGCCTGGCGAACTGGACTGGTGCTACGGGGGGGAACTTCTCGGCGTGGGCGGCGGCGAGCGTGGTGGCAGAGACCTGCGCGGCCATCGAGGCCCGCGCTGGTGGGCTAGCATCGGCGCCCCGAGACAATGAGGAGTGGCCGTGGGGCGGCGACCCCGGAGACCGCCGCTGAAGATGGGGGAGCGGAGGGCGTCGCACCACCGACGGGGGCAGCGGTGCCCCGCGAAGAGCGCCGAGGGCAGAGGACGGACGTGGCGTTGCTGTTGAGGGCAGCTGGGCGAACGTTCCGTTCGGCGACGTTGGCCAGTTGCCCCCCCTCGAGGGAACTGGCGCCGAGGAGGTCGGCAGCTGCCGCATCGTGTGCGCGCGACTGCGCAAGGTGGCGAGGCTCCGCGGGGTCGAGGGCCGTGGCAGGGCGAGCGGCTGGTCGCCGCTGAACTCGGCCTGCTTCGATGATCTGCCAGACCTGATGGATTGACGTGGCCTCCTCGATGCGTTGGCGTCTGATTTCGACCGAGGTGGCGAAGGCGACGGGACAGGTTCGAGGGGGCCGCGCAGGGGAGGCCGCCGCGGCGGAGGGCTCCGCGCGACCCTTCGGAACAGGAGAACGCCTGCCCCCTTGGCGGAGCAGCCGCGGGAGTGCCGGCATCGGCGGGGCCCCGCGCAACCGGCCCGTGCAATCGATGGCCAGACGCAGTCCAGACTCGGCAGTGGTGGGCCGCGCCCATGTCGACGCCCCTCCGCGCGCCCGCGGGATTGCCCCGAACCCCCGTCGACCGGTGGGCGCCCGCCCCCCCGCATCGACGACGCCCGCCCCGCCCGCCGCTCCTTGTCTGCCGCGAGCAGGGGGGCCCTGGCGGGAATTATGTCGGTGCGCTGGGGCCGGTCCCATGGCGGACGGGCTGGGCTTCGGGGCCGCGCAGCGCGTACTATCGCTCTGCCGAGCAGGGCGGTCGCTGCTCGGTGCGCGACCGTTAATCTCGATCGATTTGGGCACAGGGCCGCGCGGTCTCTGGCGCAGTCCCGGTTGGCCCTGCCATGGCGTCGCCTGCGCGACCCGGTGCGGGGGGCGGCTTGTCGGCGAGCCGCCGATGGTGCTCGCGCAGGATGAGCGGGGCCATGCGTTCCCTTTGCCGAACTCGGACCTGCGCTTCTCCGACGCACGGGCGATGCGGTTGAACTTCGAGAAGGCATGCTGGAAGCTCGAGGAGGGCCAGGTGCGGGCGTAGTCATGCCCTGGGACCAGGCTGATGGATGTCGGGCGTGGCGACGTCGGGGGGGAGGCGTTCGCGGCGGTCCACTTGACCGAGGAGGTCGAGGGCCCTGACCTCTCAGCCCTGGTACGGGCCAGTTCAGGGGCGGTGCAGTTTGGCACGGCTGCGACCGTCAAGGTCGATGCCCCGCGGGGCCCAGAAGCTCGGTTAGCTCCGCGCGAACAGGCAGGAATTGCGAGGCGGGGGCCCGCGGCAGTGCCGGGCGCGCCTGGGCTCTTCATGTTGGGGAGTAGGGCGTCTGGAACCTCGTGGCGAGGAGCGCGCGGGGCCGCGGGGCCGCGCGCCCGCCTTGGAACCAGACGCCGCAGTGCGAGCATCAGATGCGCAAGATGGCCTGGCAGCCGGCGCAGCAGGAGCGCATGCAGTTCCACGCGGCGCCCCGGAGGGCGATGGGCGACTCGGTGGTCAACGAGCGCTGCTTCGCGACGCCGCTGGCTCTCGACAGCTTGGCGGCCCGCCGCCAGCCTCGGCAGTCGTTGCAGCCGCCGCGGCAGCCGGGCCTCAGCCCGCCGAGGCAGCGCGCAAGGGCGGGGCGCGCAAAGGAGGTGGCCAGGCACCTGGCCGGGGCGCGGGCTCTGCAGCGCAGACGCCAGGCGGCAAGGAGATCTGCTTCAGGTGCAACTCCAAGGTAGTCGAATAAGACCTAAAGAAGCACCGCTTCCTCCTCGCGTGCTCGCTCTGTTTCGCAGGGCCACCCGCCGTGCTCGCAGGCCCGCTCGCAGGGCGGACGCGCGAGGCGAGGTCTTCTCGGGGCTCCCCGCGGCGGCGCTGCCGATCCAGGGCGCCCCGGAGGGCGCGCGGGCACTGCTGGCGCCGCCGGCGCGGGCGGCGATCGGCGCTGGCGCCGGGGCGGCGGCGGCGGCGTCGCAGGGCCACGGGGGCTGCGCCCCTCGCTGACGCCGTCAGCAGAACCAGGCCCATCGGCCCTGGGTGGCCGCGCCCTCGCGCTAGGGCCCCGCATGAGGGCGGCCCGCGCTCTCCGCGGGGCGTAGTGGACAGCGTCCGCAGGGCGGGCGTCGGCGTGGCCCCGCGCGACCGCCCGGGGCGGGGGCCGCGCGGGTGCGCCGACGGGGGGACTGAGAGGCGATTCGGCGAGGGGGTCGCCGGCGAGGGAGGGGCGCCGCGCGACCCCCTGGGGGCGGGCGCCCACCCCGCGAGGTCAATCTGACGTCCGCGCGCGAGGTCCAAGAGCGAGATGCATCGCCGCGCGCCCCCGCCGGGAAATTCTGACAAGGAGAGCGTGGAGAAGCGTGAATGGGGCCATGCGCCCCCCGGGATCCACGAGGCGGGGCGCGAGGCACAGCTGCAGCTGAAGGTGCTCTACCTCTTCTCGGGGCACAAGCGGCGGGCAGACGTCGCTGCTCTCGCGCGCAGTCTCGGCGTATCCGCGCGCGTGGAGGTGGGCCTGGCCAGGCCGGGCGACGCCGACCTCTCCGCTGCGGCGCTTCAGAGCGACTGCTTGATTCTGGCAGCAGGCGAGTGCGACGTGGTCGTGTTCTCGCCCCCCTGCAGCCTCCTTGTCACGAGTTGTGTGGATGCACCGCCGATGCCCGCGTCCAGCGCGGTCAGAGCAGCGCCTTTGGGGTTTCCCTTGGATTCGAGTTCCTGGGAGTGGCTCGGGCTCCTGCGCTACAGGGCTCCGCCACCCATACAAAAGGCATCAACGTCTCTCATAAGGGCCATTCGAGGATGCGACAAGGTATTCAGGCATCGGCAGAAACCCAACTTGTATCCTCATGTGCTGGAGCCCCAGCCAGGCCAACCTCATAATACCCCCCCCAGTGGCGCGGCAAGGCTTGCCTGCGGCTTGGGGACGGAGCTCCCGGAGGGTTGGCCGGGTTCCATTTCGTTGGCAGGAGGCTTATCCTGGCCGTCGGCCCGCGCGGGGCCGCCGAGCTCGTCGCGGGCGCGCGCCGCAGGGGCTCAAGGCGCGGCGCGTGCTGGTCGGGCCACGGGTTCAGGGCGGCAGCGGGTGCGCGGGGCGTGCGCTTCTCGCGGTCAGCGAGGGCAAGCGTGGTTCCGCAGCACTTACCAGCGAACGTGCATGCGAGGGGCTCTCCTGCAGAAGCTTCGGTTGTAGCGCCAGAGGCTTCCCACCTACAAGCGAGGAGCAGCGTCCCAGGCAGGGCTGGGACAACCTGGTTCCGAAGGCGGAGATGCATTCGCCATCGGCCGGCGGGCAGGGGGAAGGAGGGGAAGGCATGTGAGGAGGTTGAGGCAAAGACGGGGAAGGCACAGAGGCTTGGTGCAAAAGCAAGGTGCCGGTCACCACGGGGCACCAGCGGAGGCGCATCTCAGTGCTCAGCCATTCCGAATGATGGCCGATGAGAGAGGCAACTCGGCCGGCCGGACCAGGGCATCACTAAGATTGTTTGTTTTATAATGTGCGCAGTCCAGGGTGGTGGACGCTGAACATCGACAAACTCTACCGTTACAGTTCGAGAAGCGCATGTGCCTTTACGCTTGGGGCAGGAAGCCGCGTGTCGGGCTCAAGCGGCGACTGCCACGTGCCGCACTGAAGCAGCGCATAGACTGCATGAGCGCTGGCGGAGGCCACGTTGCGAGTGTAGACGAGAAACTTGCCACACATGACTCGCGGGCTACAGCCACGTTCTCCCAGCTTTGATTTTCACTCGATTCGTTGGGCTTCGTGCTCATTTGCAGCCTCTCCCTGTCACTTAGGGGCTTCGGCTTTAACTGCACGCCGCCGCCTGGAACAGCAGAATTCGTCCTGGTGCCCTGCTTTCCTCCTCCCCGTCCTCTCCTTCTTCCTCCTTCATTCTTCCCCCTCGCAAAATAGTTCACTGCGCGTCACCGCGTGGCTGCGGAGTGTGGCCGTGGCGAGCCTCGGCGTCCGCCCGCCCTGCTTGCCCTGCTGGAGCGGCCTGTGGAGTTGGCTACCTCTCGTCGCGTGTCCAGCTGTGCTAGTACAGCTCGTGTCTAGTGCCAGCTGCCGCTCGGCCGCATTAGGCATCTCGCCTCTTTCTCCCTGTTTCCCTCTCCTCCTTGCTTTCTTTCCTCATCTTTCGCATGCGGTACGCTCGCCCATCTTTCTGGCAGCGGTTCAGTGCAGGAGCTTGCCTATCGCAGGTCGGCTCGTGTTGTGTTCCTGGTTTGCCTGGCGACTTTTGATTCGCACAGCGGTCAAGGCCGAGTCGGGTGTCAACCAAAAAAAATGACTCGCGGGCTCAGTCTCAGGGGATGCCTGTCTCCTCCTCCTGACCCCACATCCTTCTCGTTACTCGTCCCTGATGCTGCTGCTTTCGCCCTCGTCGTCGTGATTATCCACCTTCTCTCCCTTCTCCTCCTCTTCCTCCTCCTTTTCCTGTTGCTGTTCCACCCCGTCTTCGTCGTCTTCATTGTGGTCGTTTTCGCCCTGACCGTCGTCGTCATTGTCTTCGCAGTCGTCACCTTCGCCTTCGTCGTGGTCATCGCGGCCGTCGTCGTCGTCGTCGTCGTTGTCGTCGTCTCTGTCGTCGCAGTCGTGGTGGTGGTCGTGGTCGTCGTGGTCGTGGTGGTGGTCGTGGTCATGGTCATGGTCGTGGTCGTGGTCGTCGTCGTCGTCGTCGTCGGCGTCGTCGTCGTCGTCGTCGTCGTCCTCGTTGTCGTCGTCGTCGTCGTCGTCGTCGTCGTCGTCGTCGTCGTCGTCGTCGTCGCCGTCGTCGTCGTCGTCGCTGTCGTCGGGCTTTTGGTCGACCCGCAGGCCAGGCGCGTACCCCCCAAACGGGCGGCACTCGCCGGGCGGGCTGGCCAGGGTGAAGCTGGACAGCCTGGACGGCAGGGCGGCGGCGGCCAAGGCAGGGGCGAGGGAGGAGGACTAGGGGGGGAGGGAGGGAAGGGGGAGTGATGATGATGATGATGATGACGATGCTGATGCTGATGATGATGCTGCTGATGATGATGATGCTGATGATGATGCTGATTATGATGATGATGATGATGATGATGATGATGATGATGAGGAGGAGGATGACGATACTGATGTTTCATGATGATGCTGATGCTGATGATGATGATGATGATGATGATGATGATGATGATGATGATGATGATGATGATGATGATGATGATGATGATGATGATGATGATGATGATGATGATGATGATGATGATGATGATGATGATGATGATGATGATGATGATGGTGATGATGATGAGGAGGAGGAGAGGAGGAGCGAGGAGGAGGGGTTAGGAGAGGAGAAGAAGAAGAAGAAAAGAGGAGGAGGAGAGGAGGAGGAGGAGGAGGAGAGGAGGAGGAGGAGGAGAGTGATAAGTAAAGAAGAAGAAGAAGCGGAGGAGGAGGAGGAGGAGGAGGAGGAGTAGGAGGAGGAGGAGGAGGAGGGCGGAGGAGGAGGAGGGGGATGATGATGATGCTGATGATGATGATGGTGATGATGATGCTGATGATTGAGGATGATGATGATGATATGCTGATGCTGAGATGATGAGATATGATGATGATGAGAGGAGGAGGGGAGGAGGAGAGGAGGAGGAGGGCGGAGGAGGAGGAGGAGGAGGAGGAGGAGGGAGGAGGAGAGGGAGAGGAGGAGGAAGAGAGGAAGAGGAAGGAGGAGGAGGAGAGGAGGAGGAGGAGGGGAGGAGGAGGAGGAGGAGGAGGAGGAGGAGGAGGAGGAGGAGGAGGAGGGAGGAGGAGGAGGAGGAGGAGGAGGGAGGAGGAAGAGGAGGAGGAGGAGGAGGAGGAGGAGGAGGAGGAGGGGAGGAGGAGAGGAGGAAGGAGGAGGAGGAGGAGAGAGGAGGAGAGGAGGAGAGGAGGAGGGGGAGGGGGAGGAGGAGGAGTAGGAGGAAGAGTAGGAGGAGGAGGAGGAGGAGGAGGAGGGAGGAGGAGGAGGAGAGGAGGAGGAGGAGGAGAGCGAGGAGGATGAGAGGAGGATGAGGAGAAGGAGGGGAGGATGGAGGAGGATGGTGGAAGGAGGGAGGAAGAGGAGGAGGAGGAGGAGGAGGAGGAGGAGGAGGGGGAGGAGGAGGGGAGGAGGAGGGGAGGAGGAGGAGGAGGAGGAGGAGGAGAGGAGGAGGAGGAGGAGGAGGAGGAGGAGGAGGAGGAGGAGGGAGGAGGAGGAGGAGGAGGAGGAGGAGGAGGAGGCGGATCAGGAGGAGGAGGCGGAGGAGGAGGAGGAATAATACAACACTATGAGTATTAAGAATGTTACGAATACGACTACTAATACCATTCATAATAGTAACAATCATCTCAATATGAGCAAGACTCAGATTAATACGACTCTTACTAGGAAGAATATTAGCATATCAACACTAATACGATTATTAGTATGATTTTTTCATCATCATTATTAGTATTACATCAGTATTATGATTCGCAGTCGTATTCTTAATACTATTAATAAAAGTAGTAGTACGAGTAAGATAACATTTCTATTACTAATGTTCATACTATCTTTTATTAATGAAAGTATGAGTCATATGAGTACTAAGGATAATAGTAATAAGAAGGATAAGAGAGGAGGCGGAGGAGAGACGGCGTTTGGCCCAGGAGAAGGCCGGACCCCAGGTGTACCGCCAGGAAGGTAGCCACGCCCATTCCGTAGGCATTTTGTCTCAAGTAATTCGTTTCTCGAGGCAACTGGCCAGGAGAGCTTGGTTGGGTGTGTAGGAAGGCACCACGGCCTCGCCCGCATGGCTTTTTGGTTTCCGATTTTTGTTCCAACAGATCAGGTTCCTTCGATCTAGACCGGTCATGGGCGGGAAACGCCAGAATCGTCGGCCACGAGTTGTGCAGGTTTCCAGTCGCAGCTCCTCGGACTCGCCGCCGCGTTCGGTTTCCTTCGGATGTACGGGTTCCCGCAGCCGCAGTGACCGTGATGTACGTCCGCCTTCGCAAGTCCCTGTTTGGATGTCAGCTCTCCTCTCCGACATCAGGACGAACAGTGCTAAGCTTGAGAGTATGGAGGCCAGCATGGTGTTGCAGTTGGGTGCCATGAGAGCGAATATTGACAACCAAGGCGCTGCATTCAGGTACTGCATGCGAGGGTTGAGACTTTGGATCGATCACATCATGGGATGTTTTCTTTTGTTGTTCAGAATGCTGTGAGTGTTGCTATGGATGAGAAAGTGCAGACCATCCCAAACCAACTTGACCAGATGACCGATGCCGCTGCTATGCCAGGTGCCGTCAAGGAAAAGCTTTGTGCGATCGAGCGGAAGGTACAGCAGATCTCGAATGCTGAGAATGGTCGGCGTGGAGGTTCTAGCGGATCCAACCCGATGAAGGAGCAGGAGGTGGCATGCAGGTTGATATTAGTTGGATTTGAGTCACCGTTGATGGGGGGAACGTTACGGAGGGCAGCGGAAATAGTGAGGGGTCGGTCTGTGCATGAGAAGGATCGTGCCAGCATCACCATCAAAGCCTTCGATCTGTTTCGGAAGGCCAGATTCGAGTTCCCATCGGTGGTGAGGTGTGCTGCTTTCTTCAACATGTCTCAGTCATTGGGTGAAGTGACGCTCCCGAGTCCAATTGCGCAGGGTACGAGCTGCGTGTTACGAGTGTACCGTGACATCAGTCAGCAGGGGGGGAAGTTGTTTTTATGTGATGGGGAAGGTGAGGGAACTCATCACGGAAGCCATGGCTGGCCGCTTCGAGGTTGGCTCGAATGATTTCGGAGGGTCGGTCTTTGCCATGGTCAACCCGAGTGCCCGAAAACGTTCGTGCAGCTGAGAATAGATGGTGACGTGATCGAGCATTCCATCGAGGAGGCCTCGCTCGCGAACTTCGGGAGTCAGAGTGTGCTGCCCGCGGTGCGGGCGGTGCTTGGGGGTCCCTTTTGAGCAAGCACGGCGCTGCGATGGCAGCGTGCCCTGTCCGCGCGCGCGCCCGTCGGTGCCTTGATTGGGTGCCTACGCGAAGATGTAGGCCACGAGGCCTTGGTGCGACGGCTTAGGGCTGTCAAGCTCGCTGATCCCTGTGCGTCTCAGTTGCGAGGGGCGGCTGATGGTGGGGCTTCCCCTTCTGCCGCCAGCGCGAATGTGTTTGTTGATGATCACTCCAGTGATCTCCCAACTTCTGCTGACAGTGAGCTTTGCTTTTGTAGTGCTGGACTACAGCTATTTCCTTTGGCGGGCCCAGTTGGGGCTCCCGGTGGTTTTCCTGAGGCTCGAGGCGCCCCTTGCAGTCCTCCCTTCTCTGTGGCGGTCTGTACTTGGAACGCCAATGGGCCCTTCGGACGGACCTGTGGGGGTTATGCGGTGTGCGCTGAGAAATTCAATTCTGCTTTCCAGGGCTTTGTGCGAAGTGCGATGTGGTTTGCTCTCATGAGTGTCATGGGCATAGAGAAGATGTGGTTGCGTTGCTGCGTAGACTTCGGTCTCCCGTGATTGGGGCCGGCTTCTTACTCGCTGTGGCGACAGGGGGGGTGGCAACTGTCATCGGTGATCGTCTGCGCCGCCAGTTTGAGGAGATCACGCATCGTATCCTTGTTGACGGGGGGTGTTGATGACCCTGATGGTTGGGGGGGGTGGGGAATTTACGGTAGTGGATGGCCGCGTGCCTAATGCGAACCTGGGCCTTCCCGTCTATCGCCGCAGTGAGTGTCGTGTCCAAGCTGCTCTTCCTGCGAGCGCGGGCTCGCTTGACATTGCAGCGGCGGGTTGGAACTTTACGCCGCCGGGGGGGGGTGGCTGAGGGCGGGGGGGCACGGGGCGAAGGGGATTGGCCGCATCATGAGTTATTCCAGAAACTTTGTGACAGTTGGCTGAGTATGTGCAGTGTGAGTCGACCAGGCTTGGGTGGAATGGGGGGGCCGCTGCTCGGCGCGCATCGCGGCTGGACCGAGTGCGCGGCGGCGCACCGAGCGCGATCCTACATGATCGCGCTGTCACTTCTTCTGTATGTGAGTCCTTGGTTCGGTGTCCGTTCGATCGTGCCCCAATCGTTTTGTCCGTCGTCTGGTTCGACCCCCGTCGGAATTGTAGTGCGCCGGCGCGTTTGCGCCGCGCGCCAGAGTGCCAGGTTGCCGTCGGGCGGATCTGTGCGGAAGTGTCGCCGCCCCTTCCTGCCTCTGAGCGTGTGGGGGTGGCCGAGGCGAGGGGCCTTGCAGCCCTGCCGGACATTCGTCAGCAGCTCGTTTTTAGGCCTGCTGAGAGTTTGGTGGAGAAGCTTTACTTGGCGAGGCGCGCTGTCCGTGGCGTTCGGCTCGTGCAGTCGCGCCGGGGCTCTTGCTGTGTATGCGCCTTTGGCATTTTGCAATGTGGGAGGGATGGCGCGCGTCGGTTTACCTGGGCCATGCGCCAGTGCTTCCCAGCTGCTGTTGGACCGTATTGCGGAGCAAGAGGAAGACTCGGAGAGGGGCGGGGAGGTTGCCCATGACTCGGGGGATGGTGCGAGGGAGATGGCGCGCAGCAAGCTGCGGCGTAGGCGGCTCTTCAGGCAGCAGCTTCGATGTCGTGTTTTCTTGAATGGCATTCGCGGGGGTGACGGGGTGGTGCGTGCTGATCCGACGGAGGCGGGGGGGAAATTAGCTATTTACTGGGGTGGGGTCTTCAGTGCGACCCAGGTGGACCGTTCGTAGTGGCCTGAGGTCCTGTCTGAGTGTAAGAGCGTATTTGATCTGCTCAGTGAGCGACAGCCAGAGTGGTGCTTGTCCTTTGATTTTTGCTGCGCGTGTGAAGTGGAGGCGTAGCGCTGCCCCTGGGAAGGGCGGGCAACCGCGCGCAGCCTGGCAGGTGGAGGGGGGAGTTAGATTGCTTTGCGAGTTCAATGTTAAGCTTTGCGAGATAGGCTGTGCCACTCCCCCCAATGACATGCGGGATCTGCTCCTCGTTTTCA